CCATGACGCTCCCCACAGAAGCGCTGGCGTGGCTGCGTCCTTTCTTCCGTGTCGCAAAGTCGGCTAGATTGGGATACGTGGAGAGGAAACCGATGCGTCTCCCTCCGCCCCCTCTCACAGATATCCCTCAGCCATGGCCAGGTGTAAGGAGGGGGCGGAGTCGTGCCAGACCCTCAAGAGCGAGGGCAGGGGAGGGAGCGAGAGGGGAGGGGAGGGAGTCTGTAAGTACGAGGAAAGGAGGGGGGAAAGCTTCATGTCTCGTGGCGTGTTACGGAGGTCTGCATGTCTAAAAGGTTTTAGAGGATATGGGGCGACTCCTTTAAATGGAGCTTTAGAAGGATCTAGAGCATGCTCTGTAAGGCTTCTTAGACCTAGACCTCCGCTGGGTCACGATGTGGGGATGCAAAAGGTTTTAGCAGATGTGAGGAAGGCTTCATATCTCACTGCTTCAGCGGACGATCAAGACCTGCACGCAGTGAGATATGAAGCATTCTAAAGCTCCAGATCACGGGCCTCTGAGGCAGTGCGCCCCATATCCTCTAAAACCTTTTAGACATGCAGACCTCCGTAACACGCCACGAGACATGAAGCTTTCCCCCCTCCTTTCCTCGTACTTACAGACTCCCTCCCCTCCTGATAGGATATGTTTACTGACTTCCTGTCTTTCTTAAGTAGGTGTCCTAGGCAGTCTCGTTTCTTAGGAAATTAGATTACTTACTTTTCTTTATCTCTAACGTTGATTTGGAGTAAATTGCCGTTGAATTGTGCATTGCTGTCGCGCGCTTGTTCTTTGGTTTCTTGACGGGATCACTTCGTGTGTCAACACTGGATCGAGAGATACTTGTAGGAAGTTTTCCTAACATTTTGGTACGCGAAGGCCTGGTTTTCCTCTCGGAGTTGTTGTGTTGAAAGAAGTTGTTCAAGAAAACATGGATAGGACGAGCATTCAGTCAGGTAGCGTTGTCTCGGACTTCATGAGTCGAAGCATGTCGCGGTTGGGCAGCTTTGTGAAGGAGACATTGAATGGGTCAGCAGAGCCGCGCTTTCCTACGGTGACAGGCATGTCGCCGCAGTCACATGCGTACGATCCGTCGGAAACTGTCATCCAGCAGGAGGCTGTTGTACGTGACGATAGTGTTGACAGTGGTCGTACAGTGCCTTCATGGTTGGAGAGTAGGGATGAAAACGAAAGAGATGGTCCCGCCCTTCCCTTGAAAGCCAGTTTTCGTGACATCGTGGAAGAAAATGAGCACCTACGCCGGACATGTAGAGAGCTCAGGTCTGTGGAACAGAACAACATGGATAAGATGCACAATCTCGTAAATGCACTCGCAGAATCCCAGAGAGAAGCTGATCGCAAACTCCAGGATCTTGTGAGGGCACTTGAGGAATCCCAGCGAGAGAACCGTAGCTTGCCAAGGAGGCAGCGGAGATGCGTGTACTGCTTTGTGAGCGGGTTCGGGAACCCGAGGACAAGCCTCACAAGCTTAAGCATGCGGAGATGACGTGTCAGATTTGCAAGCTGGATCCGAAGTCATTGTTGCAGTACATGGTGAGCAGACCATGGAAGAGGTCGGTGGTCTCATGGCTCGGATATATCGAAGGCAGGTGTAAATTTCACCGTATAGCACGCCATCGATGGGTAGGAGCGGCCATCTCTGCGTTCGGGCCGGAGGTGCAGCTATGGTGGGCTACACTCCCGATGGCTGAGCAAGATCAGTTCTCAGCTGAGCATGGTGATTGGGAACAGTTTGTGGAGAAACTGTTGTTGAAATGGTTACCGTTCGAGTTTATTGAGAAACTTGAGCGTCATGTGCAGAAGCAGGCTAGG